CTGGGACTGGTAGCTTTGATCCCTACCATCTGGATAGAATAGACTACAAAGGGGCTGGTATTTTTATCCCTACCATCTGGATAGAATAGCCTACAATAGGGTCTGGTACTTTCATCCCTACCATTTGGATAGAATAGCCTACAATAGGGGCTGGGACTGGTAGCTTTGATCCCTACCATCTGGATAGAATAGACTACAATAGGGGCTGGGACTGGTAGCTTTGATCCCTACCATCTGGATAGAATAGCCCACAATAGGGTCTGGTACTTTGATCCCTACCATCTGGATAGAATAGCCTACAATAGGGGCTGGGACTGGTAGCTTTGATCCCTACCATCTGGATAGAATAGACTACAATAGGGTCTGGTACTTTGATCCCTACCATCTGGATAGAATAGACTACAATAGGGGCTGGGACTGGTAGCTTTGATCCCTACCATCTGGATAGAATAGACTACAATAGGGGCTGGTATTTTGATCCCTACCATCTGGATAGAATAGCCTACAATAGGGTCTGGTACTTTGATCCCTATCATCTGGATAGAATAGCCTACAATAGGGTCTGATACTTTGATCCCTACCATCTGGATAGAATAGACTACAATAGGGTCTGGTACTTTGATCCCTACCATCTGCATAGAATAGCCTACAATAGAGGCTGGTACTTTTATCCCTACCATCTGGATAGAATAGCCTACAATAGGGTCTGATACTTTGATCCCTACCATCTGGATAGAATAGCCCACAATAGAGGCTGGTACTTTGATCTCTACCATCTGGGTAGCATAGCCTACAATAGGGTCTGATACTTTGATCCCTACCATCTGGATAGAATAGCCTACAATAGAGGCTGGTACTTTGATCCCTACCATCTGGATAGAATAGACTACAATAGAGGCTGGGACTGGTAGCTTTGATCCCTACCATCTGGATAGAATAGACTACAATAGAGGCTGGTACTTTGATCTCTACCATCTGGATAGAATAGCCTACAATAGAGGCTGGTACTTTGATCCCTACCATCTGGGTAGCATAGCCCACAATAGGGTCTGGTATTTTTATCCCTACCATCTGGATAGAATAGCCTACAATAGAGGCTGGTACTTTGATCCCTATCATCTGGATAGAATAAACTACAATAGCGTCTGATACTTTGATCCCTACCATCTGGATAGAATAGACTACAATAGGGGCTGGGACTGGTAGCTTTGATCTCTACCATCTGGATAGAATAGACTACAATAGAGGCTGGTACTTTGATCTCTACCATCTGGATAGAATAGCCTACAATAGAGGCTGGTACTTTGATCTCTACCATCTGGGTAGCATAGCCCACAATAGGGTCTGGTATTTTGATCCCTACCATCTGGATAGAATAGCCTACAATAGGGTCTGGTACTTTGATCCCTACCATCTGGATAGAATAGACTACAATAGGGGCTGGGACTGGTAGCTTTGATCCCTACCATCTGGATAGAATAGACTACAATAGAGGCTGGTACTTTGATCTCTACCATCTGGATAGAATAGCCTACAATAGAGGCTGGTACTTTGATCTCTACCATCTGGGTAGCATAGCCCACAATAGGGTCTGGTATTTTGATCCCTACCATCTGGATAGAATAGCCTACAATAGAGGCTGGTACTTTGATCCCTACCATCTGGATAGAATAGCCTACAATAGAGGCTGGTACTTTGATCCCTACCATCTAGGTAGCATAGCCTACAATAGAGGCTGGTACTTTGATCCCTACCATCCGGGTAGAATAGCCTACAATAGGGTCTGGTAGCATTGATCCCTACCATCTGGGTAGCATAGCGCACAATAGGGGCTGGTAGCTTTGATCCCTACCATCTAGGTAGCATAGCCCACAATAGGGGCTGGAACTGGTAGCTTTGATCCCTACCATCTGGGTAGCATAGCCCACAATAGGGGCTGGTAGCTTTGATCCCTACCATCTTGGTAGCATAGCCCACAATAGGGGCTGGAACTGGTAGCTTTGATCCCTACCATCAGGGTAGCATAGCCTACAATGGGGTCTGGTACTTTGATCCCTACCATCTAGGTAACATAGCCCACAATAGAGGCTGACCTTTTTTTTCATCCAAGGAATAATACAAAGAATTTTTAATATCTTGAAAAAGTGTGTACAAAATAATGATTCTTCTCCAATCAATAATATCACATTTTAACAAAACAAAATACTCAAAATAGTTGCATATGGTTTCATTCATGATGGACATCATGAGCATTGATCCAGGCAATTGGGACAACATGTATCAACCACGACAGCAGTTGGGATAAGATGACATGCATCAACCAAGCTTGTGACCCTGACCACCCGATCCCGTAAGTCGTCTCTTACGACATGCTGAAGCCTATATACATGATCTATAAAACCTGCTGAAAAATAACAATAAATAATAAAGGAATGAAGATGCACAACAGGGATAGAGCATCAATATTGCAGAAAACATAAAATGTGTTCAGAACACTCTTACTAAATGTAAAATGTCATTATGATGTCGTTGAGCAATGGCAAAAATCGTCACAGCACCAGTGAGAATATGGCATTCAAACAGCTGATTCACGCATGTTTTACATCTGCATCACCTCCAACTAAAGCACATTTTGGAACCTCACCATATGTAAACAATACTGAATTGACGCTGATGTTGGTGTTGATACATCTTGAAAGCAGACATGGATAAAATGTGATATCTTTCTTAAAAAAATGTTTGATTTGTTAAACATGATGTTCTCTTGGGTCTTTGATAGGCATTTAGAAGTTGGGAGAACGTAAAGCCATGAGACATTATACTCAACCATAGGTGAGGTGAAATGGGGTTTAACGTCGCGTCCAAGATTATTGCACTTATATAGCGACGTGTATACTCAACCATAATAGGTTTAACATAAGGACAGTATTAACATGATCAAAACATAAATTAAGTAAGTAAGAACTATTTACAAATTAAAACAAGATCACAGAGCTCCAGATGTAGACAGAAATTGAGAGGATGTGAGAGTGAATGAGTATCTATGTCAATGTTCATTTTCTTTTTTAGATTAGCATGTTGATCGAATGGATGGATGGTTGAATGTTTGTTTGTTTGTTGTTTAACGACCGTACTCAGCAATATTCCAGCTATATGACGACAGTCTGTAAATAATCCAGTCTGGACCAGACAATCCAGTGATTGACATCATGAGCATCGATCTACGAAATTGGGAACGATGACATGCATCAACTAAGTCAGCGAGCCTGACCACCCAATCCCGTTAGTCGCCTCTTAAAATAAGCATGGTCGCCTTTTACGGCAAGTATAGTCACCTTTTACGGCAAGTATAGTCACCTTTTACGGCAAGCATAGTCACCTTTTACGGCAAGTATAGTCACCTTTTACGGCAAGTATAGTCACCTTTTACAGCAAGTATAGTCACCTTTTACGGCAAGCATGGGAGTGATTACTGAACTGACCTGAACTCAGGCCACCATCGGCAGCAATAGAGGTACTGCACTGATACATCAATATATCATTAATAAATACATCACTATATACAATTATACAATATATATCAACAGATTTACCGAGCAGTGGCTTCACTAAACAAAGATACAGGACAGGGTTCAGTTACAAGACATACTGATAGGGTTCAATAGCAGCATAATAATTTTACAACATTTGGACAATTTTCTAAGTGTTCCAAATCTTTTACTATTAAAAACCAAATTCCATTTTGTACATATTTGGTGAAAAATATTTTCTTATTAGGCTTAAAAAAATAAAAGAATTGGTTCTCAGGCAAAGACTTTTGAAAAGATAGTGAACTGTCAACCTAGGAATGGGCCTCCCTGAAAACAAGCATACAAACTCCTATTGCTGCCATTACCATACCACGAGATGCACAGTAAAGGGAAGTAACTGTGTGCTATATTGGATCGCATTGTTTTTAAGTATTCAGGTTTTTTATTTTTTGAAAATGGAAATAAATATGAAACGTGGCACACTATCTGATGATGAGGGCGGTGCCTGAGATCCAAGAATATTTTTGTTTGAGCTGTTTCCACTTTTGAAATAGTGGACAGATAAATTGATACTGGAACTCATTACCAAAATCAAATGATTCACAAAATGAACATTTTCTTTCAGGTAAAGGTATTTTTTTCTTCATGACTGTGATTGGAGATTCTGAATTTAATAAGTCTCGACAAATATTTACTTCCATATTCAAATAATTTTCGAAATTCAGGGATTCATTTTTAGCTATGGTATACGTGACTCCTTTGTAAGATTTATCTTGTGTGTCTTTCCAGCATTGTAAATTGATATAATTTAATTTCTTAACAATTTTTTAAAATGATAATACATTGATTTGATTGCTTGCTCCACCAGATTCTGTTTTGTAATAGTGAATTCTGCAGGGTGACGCCTAGGTATTCATAGGACACAACATTTTTCAAAGCATCTAAGCCAATTCCATGGTATGGTGGTGAACACGTTTTGACCCTCAAAAATCATTACTTTTGTTTTTGAAACATTAACCTGAAGCTTCCATCTGTCACAATACTTATACAAAGAGTCTAACATGGTTCGCAAGTCCTGTATATTTGTAGCCATGAGATGGAGATTATATTTTCAATTCTATCACTGAATTCATTTGGTCTTAACTGGACGCCTTTACATAAGTTGTACAAAAGAGCTTCTTCCAAATCATTTAATAATATAACAAACAAAAGGGGAGACAGGTTCTCTCCCTGTCTAACACCATTGTTTACAAGAGAGGTGAGGTGAAACTGGGTTTAACGTCGCGTCCAAGATTATTGCACTTATATAGCGACGTGCATGCATCTGTGTGTGTGTGTGTGGCTGCATGTACTAGTCCCGACTGATGCCGATTTATAGTGCTAGCTCACTGAGATACCATGCCGCAGTTTAACATGAATACCCCACTCCGACTGTGACACTGAGCTGACCAGTCTTTATCTAAGCCCCTTAATGCCGAGCGCCAGACAGGGTAACAACAAGTACCATCTTTTAATGTCTTTGGTATGACGTGGCCGAGGATCGAACCCCGGACCTTCCGCTTTTCGGGTGGACGCTCTACCACAAGACCACCGAGGCAGCCTTTTCAAGAGAAGAAGCATCTTAAACTATCATGACACAAAACATGACATGACAAGGTGCTGGCTATTGTGACACAAGCAACAGGGAAGACAAGATGGTTGATGATGTGATTATGGCACAGTGGGGTTAAGTCTCTGTGCTTGTTTCTTTGGATTTCTATAGTCTCTTCAAGTGTCCTCCTTTTCCAGTGGTTGACCTTGGTGTCGAGAATGTTGGTTTCTTGCGAGGAAATAACATGGTTAGGATTGTTGATGAGGTGTTCCAAAACAGCAGACAGTGAGTGGTCCCGTGTTCTTTTATTTAGGCATTATTCCTGTTGTTCAGATTCATTTGGTTTTGCTACTGTCCATCAAACTGAACCTGGTCAGACTGGCCATCCTCTTCCCGAGCTTTGTCCATTTCCTCAGTGTAATCAGCTGGTCGCCCTGTAATCAATGAACACATAGTTTTTCGTGTACCAAGGAAAAGCTGCATAATAACAGGTTTGAAAAATATCCATGTTTGTCAGTTAAAAAACCCATAAGAATTTGGAACTCTGTTTTAAGTTCGTAAGTTAATAAAAATAATGCCGGCTGAGTGAGTGAGTATGGTTTTACGCCGCTTTTAGCAATATTCCAGCAATATCATGACAGGGGAGACCGGAAATGGGCTTCACAAGTTGTACCCATGTGGGGAATCGAACCCGAGTCTTGTGCGTGACTAGCCAACGCTTTAACCACTAGGCTATCCCATCGCCCCTCTTGTTGTCTGGAATACAAGTACAAAATTAGTCTGTCAAGTCCTTGCACAGAGTAGCATTTCTCATGTTCTAACTTCCCTGTGTTGTGTTCTATATGCCCGTTTTACCAACTTGCACTTTTTATGTTGGTACTTGATAACACATCGTTTCACAATTTCTCCATTTTCACCCTTTCTCTCACCCCTATCAACTTCTCGAGTTATTTCTTAAAAATAGATAAAGTTGAAACTTGGTGTGATGTCTTCCAACAGCTGATATTTTTCACGTGCTGAAACATACTTTATTACTTGCCCGTGAAAAGATCACCCGTTTAATAAACATACAGCTTTACTACACATTGTGTAATACCAAAACGCGTGCTTATGTACTCTCGGAACACGCTACACGAACAAATATTGAAAGCTCTCAACATCCCTTGGCTTATTCAACGACATTGCGAGAGCAGAGATGATAGATCACTGAGAGGAGCTTATGCACACACGATGACCCCAGCAACCTTGTTGCTAGGTTGACGTCACATGGCATTGTTTCGCCGAAGGATCTTGCAACAAAATTCCACAAATTACGTCATCGGTATTGTGACGTGAATGTAAACTTTCAGGTGCAAGGCCCCGTTCCACAAGGTGATCGTACGGTTGCGCAATGACAGTCGTTGGTCTAAGTTAAAGTATATGAGTTGCGATAACCTTACGCTAAGATAATTTTTGTTGAACGGACGCCTGAATTCTAAAGGTGGACCGTTTGATGGTATTAAATTCATACGTTTCAACTTTTGACGTATTTGAAGTATTACTGTGTTAAACTCAGTTGGATTATGCCGTGGATCGTGTAGGTGTCAGCCCATTCACACTCAACAGTATAATTCTAAAAACATTATAAATGGCAAGTAATAAATAAAATACTATACTCGCTCCCGTGTAAAACCAATTTTATGAAACTTGTGAATCGTTGTGGTATCTGACTCGCTTTCACTCGTTTCATAAAATTGGTATTACACGCGAGCTCGTTTAGTATTCTATATGTATCACTGCCAACCTACCTTCAATGGAGTACGCTCCTGCCTGCATCTGTCCGGGGCTGCCATAGCCCGAGTCCTGCTGGCCCTACAACCACAAATGCCAACACTATCTTACATTCTATTTGTTGAACCCTAGGTTAAGAAATAAAAAACATAATTTTCAAAGAAATTAAAAACCTTGGGTCAATTATAAACAGATATGTTCAGCTGTATCCCACCCCCCTTGCTTGTACATTAAAAAAACTAAAATTTCAACAAACCCACATCAATGAGAACAAGGAGACAAAGTCATCTTTTTCATCTTCACAGGTCACTTGCGTAGGTACAACATAAAGGCTTCCTCTGTGAGGTGGGAACACTTAGAACATGGATTGTCTAGACTAGTCAGGTGATCAGGTTGTGGAGGCTCAAAATACAGGCTTATAGTGCCTAACCCACTTGTTTGGGGGGTGACATGGTGATGCTGGGATGTGTTTGTGTGAATTATTTTTAGGAGCTGGAAACTTTGTTCAAACACGTATTCACATAGGGAATGAAAGATAGAGTGAGTGAGTTGTGTTTAACGCCGCTTTTAACAGTATTCCAGTTATATCACGGCGTGTCAGCTTAATGTGGGAGGAAAGCCCGAAGTGATGCAGGTCTCAGACGGTTACCACTTCGTGAAACCCACGAGCACGGGTATGGTGCTGACAAACCTAGAAACATAATCGGGGCGGACCGGGATTCGAACCCACAATCATAGGTTTCTGGCGTGCCCAAGGGACGCAACTCTGCACAGCGAATAGCGGCGCCTTAGACGACTGGGCCACCCGTGCCCCCGGGAATGATAGAAGAAGGATGAATAGCATAGTGTGAGATAGGATAAGATTAAAAATCATATATGTTTTAGCCTCCATCTTCTCCTCTCCCACTATTTTCATTGGTTCAGACACTGATTTCTAAAAATTCATGACACATATGTATTGTTGTGTAATATTCCAAAGACATTATAGAAAAAAACATCACCACTTTTCCAAATTTCTGAAAGGAGCAATTTGTTGTCAAACCTACTACTGATTTTTGACAAACTTGGGTCCAATTCCACAAAGAAATCTTAACAGTATGACGATAACAAATCTTTGTTTAAGGATGCAAGGCAGTTAGGATACTTGTAGTGGCTGACTGTTCGCACGGATCTCTTTGCAAGCAATGAGCATGTGTTAAGTTCCTAATAACACCACCACACAACACCTGCTCTACCTGTTCCTTGAATTTAGATTATTAAAAATATAACTTTGGTTCTTAAATATGGTCCCTATTCCATGAAGCAGTCGAAACCCAGAACTATGGCACATCTCTGTTTTAAGTTTGTGAGAGTTACCGCAGTGCTTAAATTTCTTGGAACCGGGCACTGCACCAAAACATACCTCTGTATGAGGGACGGGCACTTCTGGATCCCCGGCAGCTGTGGGCGATGCTGCAGGTGCAGCCTGAACTAATACAGCTGCGGAGCAGGGGTCAACTTCGGCAACTGTGCCAAATTCCTCAGGGTCGGTTTGAGTAGCACGGTCTTGGGATGCCATCAATGGTCCATGTGGCCGCCTCTGTCTCCTTCTGGACCCTGACAATACAAGGAGAGGGGGGCACAGTTAGAACAGAAGTCCAATACCTTCGCAAGCTGTCAGTTTAATTCAACAGTAGGTGATTAACAAATTAAACCACACAAGCCTGAAAAACTCAAATCTGGACCAGGAAAACCAGTGACACGAAATGGAGAAAACATGGAATTTTATTGGAGAAAAATTGGTTGTCAGGTCATTTTCACATGTCACCAGGGATCAAAGACATGTCATCAGGTCGTAGACTCATGTCACCAGGGCTCAAAGACATGTCATCAGGTCAAAGTCATATGTCACCAGGGCTCAAAGACATGTCATCAGGTCGTAGTCACATGCCACCAGGGCTCAAAGACATGTCATCAGGTCGTAGTCACATGTCACCAGGGCTGAAAGACATGTCAACAGGTCGTAGTCACATGTCACCAGGGCTCAAAGACATGTCAACAGGTCGTAGTCACATGTCACCAGGGCTAAAAGACATGTCATCAGGTCATAGTCACATGTCACCAGGGCACAGTGACATGCCATCAGATCCTAGTCACATGTCACCAGGGCGCAGGTGCAGTGACAAGCCATCAGATCGTAGTCACATGTCACCAGGGCACAGTGACATGCCATCAGATCGTAGTCACATGTCACCAGGGCACAGTGACATGCCATCAGATCCTAGTCACATGTCACCAGGGCACAGGTGCAGTGACATGCCATCAGATCGTAGTCACATGTCACCGAGGCACAGGTGCAGTGACATGCCATCAGATCCTAGTCACATGTCACCAGGGCACAGGTGCAGTGACATGCCATCAGATCGTAGTCACATGTCACCAGGGCACAGTGACATGCCATCAGGTCATAGTCACATGTCACCAGGGCGCAGGTGCAGTGACAAGCCATCAGATCGTAGTCACATGTCACAAGGAAACAGATGCAGTGACATGCCATCAGATCGTAGTCACATGTCACCAGGGCGCAGTGCAGTGACATGCCATCAGATCATAGTCACATGTCACCAGGGCACACTGACATTCCATCAGATCGTAGTCAAATGTCACCAGGGCACAGGTGCAGTGACATGCCATCAGATCGTAGTCACATGTCACCAGGGCGCAGTGCAGTGACATGCCATCAGATCGTAGTCACATGTCACCAGGGCGCAGGTGCAGTGACATGCCATCAGATCGTAGTCACATGTCACCAGGGCACAGTGACATGCCATCAGATCGTAGTCACATGTCACCAGGGCACAGTGACATGCCATCAGATCGTAGTCACATGTCACCAGGGCACAGTGACATGCCATCAGATCGTAGTCACATGTCACCAGGGCGCAAGTGCAGTGACATGCCATCAGATCGTAGTCACATGTCACCAGGGCGCAAGTGCAGTGACATGCCATCAGATCGTAGTCACATGTCACCAGGGCACAGGTGCAGTGACATGCCATCAGATCGTAGTCACATGTCACCAGGGCACAGGTGCAGTGACATTCCATCAGATCGTAGTCACATGTCACCAGGGCACAGGTGCAGTGACATGCCATCAGATCGTAGTCACATGTCACCAGGGCGCAGGTGCAGTAACATGCCATCAGGTCATAGTCACATGTCACCAGGGCACAGGTGCAGTGACATGCCATCAGGTCATAGTGACATGTCACCAGGGCACAGGTGCAGTGACATGCCATCAGATCGTAGTCACATGTCACCAGGGCACAGGTGCAGTGACATTCCATCAGATCGTAGTCACATGTCACCAGGGCACAGTGACATGCCATCAGATCGTAGTCACATGACACCAGGGCACAGTGACATGCCATCAGATCGTAGTCACATGTCACCAGGGCGCAGTGACATGCCATCAGATAGTAGTCACACGTCACCAGGGCGCAGGTGCAGTGACATGCCATCAGATCGTAGTCACATGTCACCAGGGCGCAGGTGCAGTAACATGCCATCAGGTCATAGTCACATGTCACCAGGGCACAGGTGCAGTGACATGCCATCAGATCGTAGTCACATGTCACCAGGGCGCAGGTGCAGTAACATGCCATCAGGTCATAGTCACATGTCACCAGGGCGCAGGTGCAGTAACATGCCATCAGGTCATAGTCACATGTCACCAGGGCACAGGTGCAGTGACATGCCATCAGGTCATAGTGACATGTCACCAGGGCACAGGTGCAGTGACATGCCATCAGATCGTAGTCACATGTCACCAGGGCACAGGTGCAGTGACATGCCATCAGGTCATAGTCACATGTCACCAGGGCACAGGTGCAGTGACATGCCATCAGGTCATAGTGACATGTCACCAGGGCGCAGGTGCAGTGACATGCCATCAGATCGTAGTCACATGTCACCAGGGCACAAGTGCAGTGACATGCCATCAGATCGTAGTCACATGACACCAGGGCACAGTGACATGCCATCAGATCGTAGTCACATGACACCAGGGCACAGTGACATGCCATCAGATCGTAGTCACATGTCACCAGGGCGCAGTGACATGCCATCAGATAGTAGTCACACGTCACCAGGACACAGGTGCAGTGACATGCCATCAGATCGTAGTCACATGTCACCAGGGCACAGGTGCAGTGACATGCCATCAGATCGTAGTCACATGTCACCAGGGCACAGGTGCAGTGACATGCCATCAGATCGTAGTCACATGTCACCAGGACACAGATGCAGTGAAATGTCATCAGATCGTAGTCACATGTCACCAGGGCACAGGTGCAGTGACATGCCATCAGATCCTAGTCACATGTCACCGAGGCACAGGTGCAGTGACATGCCATCAGATCGTAGTCACATGTCACCAGGGCGCAGGTGCAGTGACATGCCATCAGATCGTAGTCACATGTCACCAGGGCACAGGTGCAGTGACATGCCATCAGATCCTAGTCACATGTCACCAGGGCGCAGGTGCAGTGACATGCCATCAGATCGTAGTCACATGTCACCAGGGCACACTGACATTCCATCAGGTCAAAGTCACATGTCACCAGGGCGCAGATGCAGTGACATGCCATCAGATCCTAGTCACATGTCACCAGGGCACAGGTGCAGTGACATGCCATCAGATCGTAGTCACATGTCACCAGGGCACACTGACATTCCATCAGGTCAAAGTCACATGTCACCAGGGCGCAGATGCAGTGACATGCCATCAGATCCTAGTCACATGTCACCAGGGCACAGGTGCAGTGACACGCCATCAGATCGTAGTCACATGTCATAAGGGCACAGTGACATGCCATCAGATCGTAGTCACATGACACCAGGGCACAGTGACATGCCATCAGGTTGTAGTCACATGTCACCAGGGCACAATGACATGCCATCAGGTTGTAGTCACATGTCACCAGGGCACAGTGACATGCCATCAGGTTGTAGTCACATGTCACCAGGGCACAGTGACATGCCATCAGGTTGTAGTCACATGTCACCAGGGCACAGTGACATGCCATCAGGTCGTAGTCACATGTCACCAGGGCACAGTGACATGCCATCAGGTTGTAGTCACATGTCACCAGGGCACAGTGACATGCCATCAGGTTGTAGTCACATGTCACCAGGGCACAGTGACATGCCATCAGGTCGTAGTCACATGTCACCAGGGCACAGTGACATGCCATCAGGTTGTAGTCACATGTCACCAGGGCACAGTGACATGCCATCAGGTCGTAGTCACATGTCACCAGGGCGCAGTGACATGCCATCAGGTTGTAGTCACATGTCACCAGGGCACAATGACATGCCATCAGGTCGTAGTCACATGTCACCAGGGCACAGTGACATGCCATCAGGTTGTAGTCACATGTCACCAGGGCACAGTGACATGCCATCAGTGCTCATCGCTGTCCCACCAGAGCACAGTGACATGCCAGACGCTGGATGTTGAAAGTAACATCCCTCAAAATTGGTGTTAATCTGCCGGCACAAGACTACTAAATGTTGAGCCCCGTTACGAACTTGTACCAAATTTCAATACTCTTGGAACAAAAATGGTTCAATAGTGGCTGCCATTTTGAAAATCTGATTTAAACCTCTTGAACAAATTTGGGTTTCATTTATGTGGTAACGACTATGTGAAGTTTCACATTCAGTGGTACAGTGCTTTCTGAGGAGGTGGCGTTACGATGAACAATGCACAAACATGCTACAACATAAACTCACTAGACTTTCAGTCAGGAGAGGTAATAGTGGGTTGGTTTGTTATTTAACGCTGCACTCAGCAATATTCCAGCTATATGATGGCGGTCTGTAAATAGACGAGTCTGGACCAGTCAATCCAGTGATTGATATGAGCACCCATCCATGCAATTCTAAAATATTCAAAAATAAAAAAACGTATGAAAAGTACCTGGTCATAATTCTTTCAACATCATGTTCAAAGCAATGATGTCATCTCTGAAGTAACTTAGTTGGATCTACATATTCACACAAAGTTCAGTCACAAGTTTCTTTCATTTTTTTAAATGTTTCATTGCTAAGTCTAAAATATGTATTTAACCTTGAAGCAAAGTGAAATGTTATTTCCTTGCACTGAAAATAGACAAGGCGAAACACTGATGGTAACAGACAGGCTGACTTCATTCAAAAAATATATTTATATGAATATCGACAATGTTTTGTTCAACAACAAAGATTTAAAAGGTACTCTATTTGCTGGTCCACAGGGACTAACAGTCAGATGAATTACCGGTCCAGGCCTAATTTTACCAGTAGAAAACTGGTAATTACCGGTAAACAGGAACACTGGGTGAGTTACCTTGATATCCATGGAGTTGCTGGACCGTTGGCCATCCATGCACTATCACCAGCTCTACATGTATGTACCAGAAAACTGCAACAAAATGTGTCCTTTACTATACAGTCAAGTCCCGTTAATCCGACATGGTTGGTTGCATATGATTATGTCGGATTAACGAGTATGTCGAAATTAAGTAATATCAACGTTCATCATAAAAAATCGGACAACTTCATGATAGCTAATGATACAAACACATAATAAAAAAATGAAAAATGAAATATTCATATTGTTATGTTACATTGTTAGCGGAATATGTTTTCTAAACATGCAACCTCTGAAGCTTAACACAAAGCAACTGTTACTGACTGAATGACTGATTCAAAATACTTTAAAAAGCATCGTCTGGAATGGAAGTCACCAGTTTGAAACTGGTGAGTAAAAGCTCAAGAAAGCTGCTATCTTATTGGCTAATGTCCACTTCTTCTTAGTCGTTTCATTGGTCAGTCATAGTTCGCGAAAGGTCGCTCTGACCTGATCTGTAATGGGATGTCCTCAGCGGTAGCGAGAACTTATATCTGATTTTAATGAGATAGAGGTAATCTAAGCATGTGATTAATCCTGTTTTGTTTACATATAGCATTAATTGTTTATTTTAAGCAAGTTATATTTACACAATAAATACAGGTCTTACTGGTGATTTCCTGTTGATCGTCTCTCCACAGTACGAGAGAGAGTGTTACACCAAAAGTTTGGGTTTCAAAAGGCACAGGCATGATGAATCTGAAACACAAAAGATAGTGTTAAAAGATGTATGTGCTGCAGCTCAGAGGCGGACGCATTGTAAATAGGATTCAAACCTTTTGCATGAATTATCATTGCCCGTAAAAGGCGACTTTGCTTGTCGTAAAATGCGACTAACGGTATCAGGTGGTCAGGCTCGCTGACTTGATTGATGCATGTCATCGATCCCAAATGTGTGGATCGATATTCATGATATTAATCACTGGATTGTCTGCCATTCTGCAGGTGGTGCTTCTCTATCTGCAGTCTGTCATCAAGTTGTCTGTACTTTAGCTTTCTTGGACGAATTTTCCCACCAGACTCTAGCTGATGGATGGTCGACTCGACGTACGCTTGTTCGGCTTTGAAAAATGATACACTCTTGAAGATGTTTGGATGAGGCGCACCAAATACCTTCGCAATCTTGCTGTGCCACCCCTCCACGTAATTTGTCGTTCTAGGTCTGTGTTGTGTTGTGGTGGTTCTACCCAGTAGTCGGTGACGTAATCTGCAAACTTCAGGACTCGGTCATCCCCCAGAGGGGCGTATTCAAGGGCACTCAGCCACACAATATGCTGGACTGGAACAAGTGGAAGGGAAACAGCTCGATTCACGAAACGATAAACATTCCGATCAAATCAATTATGGGAGCAAATTTCATATAATTATTAAGTAGTGGACACATTTCACAAGAGTGAACACTTGTGAGAACATTTGACTTATCACCGCAGTGCCCACTGTACAGGTGAGAACATTTTAGCTGATACGGTCCCCCACTTAATCCCTAATCCCCCCACTGTCTTCCCCATGTTGTTTTAGGACCAAAAACCAAAAGTGGGCAGAGTGGGGGGACACCGTTGGATCGTGAAGCGAGAGTCACCAGAGCGTGCGGCACGGTAACGGTGTAACGAGACAGCAGTGGCACTATGGTAGTCCACTGACAATACAAGTTTTGAAATAAAACTCTTCTTTGTCACAATTTCTAACATGAGTGGTCGCATCTCTGAAATTCACCGAATGTCGATCGTTGATGTGATATGGCTTACCGTTCTTCAAATGATTACTTTCTACCAAGAGATAACGATGAACAACACGCTCAATGCTCCTAGCCCGACATTACAACATTCAGGTCTCCCGGACTGTGGCGGATACCATACTAGCCTAACGACTACTCTTTACTCTGTCAATGGTTCGGAAACCGTGACACTGGACTAATAATCATTCGTCCAAAAAACGCACGAAGCATGCCGTAAACACGTGTAACATCTTGTCGAAATAACAGAAATGATTCTACCATATCCCACATTATACAAATAACTCCTCAATTTGTAACATTTTTAATATATATTCCGTTTTGAATACAATCCAATTAACCTTCTCATGTGAAATAAGACAAAACCTCTCAAGTAGCCGTTTTCATTTGCGAAATTAAAAATATAGGTCATTTGTGAGTATTTGTAGAGCGCAACACGGTATAATGAATATAACTGGAAGTCTAAAAAAGTGATAAATATATTCACGTCATGTTTTTATTATAAACCAACTGACGTAACACCAACACCTGTAGGTAGTGGTCCAATAAGTAGTACTGGTTGTACTCGGGAACCCAAGCTCCTTCACTGTGAGGAGTTTGCTCGGGAACGGAAATGTTTTTCTCGGAAGCACGTGTGTAGAAGGTTCTAGAACCACACCGCGATGTTATGTTACTAAATATAGACCGAGCACACCATTAGACCGACCCTCAGCGTCATGAATTCTCTTCTCCCGATCATATTAATGCTAGGCTCCGCCTCCATCCAAGGCCTCGCCCCCAACGTGAAAGCGTAATGCGGACACCCATTTTGCCAACAGAGAGCGCTGGCATAACCAGTGACAGATTGGCGGACACCATTCAGACAAATTAGAAGGTCACTTCTCCATAAACCACAGCAATAGGCTCAAAAGCAAATATAACATATTTGATACATGTATTATAAAATATTGACAACAAGATAGCTATAATTGCAGCAATGGCTGGTGATTCAGCGGTCTGTTTCAACATGTTGATAATTTTATTTAGTACAGAGACTATATATATATACCGGTATATGGTCTCCTATTAGTAGTTAAATTTTATCATAGAGTATGACATCGCTCAGTATATATTTGCTGTGAGATGGAAGTTGTTTAAGAAATATATAGTGATTACCAAGAAATATATAGTGATTACCTTTCGGACCTGTTAACTTATCGATTCTCCATTTTTGATAAAATATATTTTTAGCACTCTTTCAACAGCTATGACAATCCATTCGTTATGGAGATATAGAGGTACGAGCCGCAAATATTTAGTAACTGCTCTGTACAGATAAGCCATGGGTTAACAGTCGAGTTTGCGTTCTATCATGAACTTGTAAATTACGTTTGAAATGTTTTTTCTAGTTCAACGACGACTGTGACTTCAGTAACGTCTCCTGAGCACTGCGCGTCGTTATTGTATGTGAGTGAGTGAGAACTTCTTTTGCAATATTATCCCAGTACTTGGCCATTTTCTTTGAAATTTGATTAATTAAAGATACTCTCCTCAGTTCACCATAATATACAATGACGTTTGGGTGAGGTGATATGAAATTGGGTTTAACGTCGCGTCCAAGATTATTGCACTCATACAGCGACGTGTATGGACGTGTGTGTGTGGCTGCTTGTACTAGTCCGACTGACGATTCATAGTGCTAGCTCACTGAGATACCATGCCGCAGTTTAACATGAATACCCCACTCAGACACAGTATACTGACTCCGAGCCGACCAGTCCTTGTTTTACCCCCTAATGCCGAGCGCCAGACATGCAGGGTAACAACAAGTACCATATTTTAAAGTATTTTGGTATGACGCGGCCGGGGATCGAACCCCGGACCTTCCGCTCCGGGCGGACGCTCTACCACAAGACCACGGAGGCGGTCTCCATGAAGTTTGGGGTTGAGAGAGAGAGAGAGAGAGAGAGAGAGAGAGAGAGAGAGAGAGAGAGAGATTCTTTCTCCTTCTTATACTACTTATAGGACTTTGGGGACGTAATAGCTCATACGTATACTAGCATAAAAAGCCTCCGCTTGAATTCATTAAAATTTATTTATTTTCCTTCAAACTTGTGACGATTTGGACTTTAACGGAACCCTGAGAACATATATACTACAGGAATCTGAATTTCTGATTTAAACATGAAACGTGTATGCCTTTTTTCACTTTCAAACACACTTCTTCCACAATAAATATATATATATATATTTACTAACACCCTCTCTCTATATATTTATACATATCGGTTCATAAAGATAATATGGGATTAAAACAATGACATTGTAGGCCTTTTCACTGTAAAACACATCTCTATATCACGTATGTAAATATGGTGTATTTATATAGAGAGAGTGAGTGAGTGAGTATGGTTTTACGCCGCTTTTAGCAATATTCCGCAATATCACGGCAGGGGGACACCAGAAATGGGCTTCATACATTGTACCCATGTCGGGAATCGAACCCGGGTCTTCGGCGTGACGAGCGAACGCTTTTTAACCACTAGGCTACCCGACCGCCCTTTATATAGAGAGATCATCGAGTGTTTGGTAACACAAAAAAACACAGATTCATTGTACTTGTGTATAGAGGGGATTTTGTTAGTTAAAGGCGTTCAGCCTCCTTTAGAAGTTCAGATACCCGGGCACATACATACAGTAAATACCCGAGAAGATCCGGGGTAGAATAGGTCTTCAGCAACCATGCTTGCCGTTAAAGGCGACTATGTCGTAATTTTAAGAAGCGACCAACGGGATCGGGTGATCAGGCTCGCTGACTCGGTTGATGCATGTCATCGAGGGGGGGGGGGGGGGGGGGGGGGCAAATACGGTTATTCATTTCTTGTTAAAGTTAACTTTCACAAGGAAAAATGTTTTCTATAAAAGAATCTAGCCCCCCCCCCCCCCCCCCCCCCCCCCCCCCCCCCCCCGGCTGGGCTACGGCACTGGATTGACAATACATGATACTCATCCTTAATTAGAGTTAAACCTTTGGAGTGGCAATACAAACACACACGTTCTTCATATGGGATTTTAGAATGTCTTCCAGTTTCAACTGCAAGTTTAAAGTTGTTACACCTGAACATACATATTAATCGTTTATAATAAGCAGAGATTTCACATGATAATAAGTATTTTTCGACATTAAGGAGAGATTTGTACTGTGAGTAATATTTGCATTTAGATGAGAGCTTTTGTTCGTCTATTGTGTCAGTTACAATATTCCAGCTATATCACTACTAACTGTAAACAATGGAGCCTGCCCCGGCACACGGCACACCAGCTTGGTTGAAAGTATGAGAACGAACTACCCACGTTCGTCAGCTTGTAGTCTGTCTTACAGACCCTGATACAAATATATATCAAAAATAGCCCATGCAAGTCTATAATGTTTGGCAAGTCTAGATCACTGCAGTATCACTGAAGAGAGTCACTGGGCTCCTTTTTATTATATTTTTATTAAGATAACTGAACAACTGTTTTTTTTATGTACGATATGTTCATTTCAGAGACTAAATGTTAGTCTAGTCAGCTTGGTTAATGCATGTCTGCGAATCCTACAGTTGCATCGGCCAATGCTCAGGATATCAATTACTTTGTTTGTTTGTTTGTTGTTTAACGCCACAGTGAGCAACACTCCAGCTATATGACGGCGGTCTGTCAATAATCAAGTCTGGACCAGACAATCCAGTGATCGATATCATTGGCACCGATCCACGCAATTGGGATGCGATGACATGCATCAACCAAGTCAGCGAGCCTGACCACCCGATCCCGTTAGTCGCCTCTTACCACAAGCATAATGTCAGTTACTGGATTGTCTGGTCCAGACTCGATTATTTACAGACCGCCGTCATATAGCTGGTATATCGCGGGGTTACCCAACAACTATACCAAAAAAGACCCTAAATCTGTATGTAAGGCAATACATTTTGACAAATAGGCTGGAGATTTAGGTTTACAGGAAAGCGAGCGTTTCGCGTGTTCTGTGTCATCAGACATGTTCACATCGATCTGATGCAAAAAAAACACAAACTAGTACAGTAAAGTACGGTTATAACGAACTCAAAGGGACTACAAATTTTAGTTCGTTTTAACCGTAGTTCGTTATAAGCATATATACAGCATAACTACAGCAAATAGTCGGGACCAAAAAAGTAGTTCGTTATATCCGTCAGTTCGTTATAAGCGTGTTCGTTATAACCGTAGTTTACTGTATATATATAACGAAAATATTATGTGTGCTACACAAAACGCGTGTGACTTGAAGTTTGACATCAATTACAATTTAATGACTTTGAAATTGATTCCTATAATGAGACCAGTGGGTTGTCAATAGCTGTCACTCAAGTGTCACCTGTGTCACCGGGATAGAGCATCGATTGCAATATGGGAGAAGCACTTGAATGTTGGCGTGGTAGGATGTTTTATTCTCAATAGACGCAACACACGACTTATTATATCGGGATCATATTTGTCAAGAAATTTGAAGAGATTGCTCATTGTGAAGTGAGAGAGTGGGTGAGTGGTTATACGCCGGTTTTAGCAATATCACGGCGGGGACACCAGAAATCGGCTTCACACATTGTACCTATGTTGGGAATCGAACCCGGGTCTTCGGCGTGACGAGCAAACGCTTTAACCACTAGGCTACCCGACCGCCCCTCATTGTGAAGCTTTTGCGCTACACATGGCTGGAAGTTTGTTTATTTGTTGTTTAACGCTGCACTCAGCAATATTCCAGCTATATGACGACCGTATGTAAATCATCGAGTCTGGGCCGGACAATCCAGTGATAGGCATCATGAGCATTACAATAACTTCAGCTTCCAATTGTGGTTGGTTTGTTGTTTTACGCCGCACTCAGCAATATTCAAGCTATATGAATGCGGTCTGAAAATAATCGAGTCTTGACCAGACAATCCAGTGATTAATATCATGAGCATCGATCCACGCAATTGGGATCGATGACATGCATCAACCAAGTCAGCGAGCCTGACCAACCGATCCCGTTAGTCGCCTCTTACGACAAACATAGTGTCCTTTTACGGCAAGCATGGGTTGCTGAAGACCTATTCTACCCGGAT